CCTACAGGGAAGCTCCTTTGTTTTTTTTTGGACATTTGTCTTTGAGATTCCCAGGTTGTGCCTCTACCCATGTTTAGGAACATCTTGATGACTTAAGGAAGCGATGATTCCAGCTCTGGAGTTCTTACCGTAAATGTGAGGACTGAATGCTTTTAGCCTTACAATAAACACTTGTAATAAAACTACACTCATTGTGTTTTTTGCTCTTGATGTGAGAAGGACTTCAAAGAAAGTTATATTTTGTATAAAAGTTGTTTTATACTGTGAAACAGCTGCGTTCTAGTTAACGTGGCAACTCTAAAAAGCATTCAACATCAACGTCAAGACCAGTTCTGAAATATAACAATATAATATAATATAACGTCTCATAGATGAGATGTGTTAAGAGGCAAGTTCGAAAAAAGACCTGCTTGGTTGATCAAACACAGCTTGGTGCTTCAGGCTTCTCATTCATGGTAACTCAAGAAATGACCATGTTCCCATGTCAGGAAATCAAAAGTTACCATCAATTTGACAACTAGTCTTACTGTAGTTGAGGCTTTTGACCTAGAGTAAGTTCTAAGCTTGGGCTGCCCGGTTTGCCTCTTTTTGTTTATAGTGGGGTTTTGAGCTTTTATTTTTCCCCCTTCAGCTTTTCAGTTTTGGATGTCTGAAAAAGCTTCAAACCTAACGTTACCTCATTCACCACTGGGGGAACTATTTTTCTGTGCAGCAGTTTTGATATTTCTTTTTTTAAATGTGCCAAAAATTGGCTAACATTACATATAAATAACTGAACAGCCTTGTACTTCGTTTATTTACTTTGTTGCTGTCCCAGTATATGAACAGTATTTTTGACTTAACTTTTTTCCGAAATACTGGATCAGAGTAAAGGCTCCTACCAAACATCAAACAACAGTAGATTTCAGTCTTAATAAATGACTGCAAATACATACAATGTAGAATGTTACATTTGAAACCTAACTAAATGTACACATACAAAAAATCTCCTAATTATTTGATTTATCCTGATTTTGAAATGTTCCCCGATAAAACGAGGCTGTCAGAAAGACCACAGCTGATCATCACAGTAGGCAAAGTACAAAGTTACCACTAGAGGGCGCTCTGTAATGTCTTCCAGGTTTCTCATATGCTAGAGGGCGCTCCTGAGCAAGTCCAAAATGAATGGGTTAATATGGAGCATTTGAGCAAAATCATAGTTTATAAATGCTTAAACGTTTTTAATATAAAAGAATACATTCATTTCCTGAACACAGAACAGCATAAAAAATTTTTAAAACTGCTGGTATATTTTTAAGAGTTTTAAAACACAAATTATAGGGGTTTAAAACAACGTCAGTGAGCACGAACAGCCAATGAGCTGCTCCACTCGCCAACCAATCAGCACTCAGTATCAGTAATGCTCACCTTCACCCAATGACATAAAAAAATGATATCTTTATTGTAGCGTAACTTATTAGATTTTTATTTGAAATGTAATGTTTTAGTACTTCAGTACCATAATGTAGTTTAATGTTAGAAAATAATGTTAAAATCTCAGTTTGAAACTTTTCTCTTACTGTCACCGCAAATACTGCATTTTGGCCTTACAAGAACCGCTAGAGGGCGCTCCGAAACATTAACGAACGTTTCGAGTTGAAAATCTAAAAAAGGAAAGCGGTCAAAAACACGTTTTGAAGGCCACCCGCAGATGGCGCAGTTCTGCACCGTCCCTCCTCATCGCCAGCAGATGGCGCAGTTCTGCACCGTCCCTCCTCATCGCCGACAGATGGCGCAGTTCTGCACCGTGCCTCCTCATCGCCAGCAGATGGCGCAGTTCTGCACCGTCCCTCCTCATCACCAGCAGCAGGTGAAGTTCATTACTAATTAAAGGCCTTTAGATTTAAGAGACGCCGCTGAGTTTAAACCGTAAGATCTCCTTCAGCTGAAGAGAACTCAGCTTAGCTTACACAGCCCTCAGGTGGAGCTCTGACTGTGGATCAGTTCTAGTTTGGAAGACTGAACTCCTCTTTATCTGGAACACCAACGCGAGAACCACAGCACTAAAACAAGATATTTGTGGTTAACTAAACTCCCCAGAGAGAGAAAAGTGGACGGGTGAATGCTTCCGCTGCAGATCAGGAGTTCATCTCTGATTTCTGTTTTCTCTTTCTGAGCAAAGTGCACTGTGGGGATCTCGCGGTCTCTCTCCAACAGTTTTAAACTAGCGCTCAGGTGAGGAGAAAGTCACTATGGTCACTATTACAGAGCAGGAAGAGCACCAGGACGGAAACTAGAACGGCACCGATGACATTTTACAATTGGCACCTTTGTGAAGTGTTTACAAAGTGCCGAAAGCTGCCTAGGAAGCTAACGCTAATCATTAGCATGTGTGCTAGCTGCTAGAGAGTGTTTTTGTTGCTATTCTCCCCATTAACGTCGAAAACATTGACAGTTAAGCCCTCCTGAGGTTTGTAAACGGAGCTCTAAGCGGATCTGGTCTTGCTGAAGACTAGCTGTTTGTCTGGTTTGTTCTTGTACCTTTACGTTTTCCCACCGTTTACCAAAATAGAGGGCACCGTTTCATGTCATAATAATGTCAGTTTAGCCTACCTGACTTTGGAGCCATTCTTCTTTCATCCATTTGGAGTCACCATGCTTCTAACACGGCACCTCATCGGCTGATCTGTTAACGTTTCATCGGCCGACCGGTCCATTATTGATGTGACGCCGACGATTACGTTCTGACCCTTTGGGATCTGGGTCCGAACAGTCCTCCGCGCAGCTGGATCCCGAACTTCCCGACGGGCCGACGCCACCTCCTTCTCGCTGACCCTTAACACCGGAGCTCCTCAGGGCTGGGTGCTCAGCCCTCTCTTGTATCCCCTGTACACCCACGTCTGCTCAGCCAGACACAGCTCCGATGTCATCATCACATTTGCAGATGACACCACGATTGTGGGCCAACGAGGAGGCCTACAGAGAGGAGGTCAGCTTCCTGACACACTGGTGCCGGAAGCGAGAGAAAGAGCCCACCCCCGTCAACGGAGCCTCTCTAGAGAGGGTCAGCAGCTTCGAGTCCCTCGGTGTTTACATCTCAGAGGAGCTGACGTGGACCGAACGCACCACACGGGTGGCGAAGAAGGCGCAACAGCGCCTTTTGGCATGCATCCCCGCATCCTCAGAACATTGTACACATGTACTGTGGAGGGCATTCTAACAGGCTCCATCACCTCCTGGTACGGGAACTGCACCGCCATCGAGCGGAAAGCTCTGCGGAGGGTGGTGCGGACAGCCCGGCGCATCACCGGGGTCCAGCTCCCAAACCTCCTGGATTTATACACCAGCCGCTGCCTGAGGAAGACCAGGAGGACTCCGAAGGACTCCGCCCACCCAAGCCACTGTCTGTTCTCACAGCTGCCGAGCAGGAGGAGGCGCAGAAGCATAAAGTCCAGAACCGTCCGGTCCCGAGCCGGTTTTTTCCCCGGGCCATCCGGCCGCCGAACGGCCAGCGGCGCCGGCGTATCGGCCTATAGGCCTGTCGCCGCACCTCCGAGTCGTCGTCGCGATGATCTCCATGGACAATCCACACCTCATCCACACACGGCTTTTCTATACCGTATTCCGTACTTGCGTTTACCTAGGCTCATTTTTCTGAAATAAAACTTGTGGTTTGACTGGTTTCCAACAGAGAGCACACGTCTAGATCCCGTTAGAAAACCATGGGATGCATTTGCAATCAGCCACCTGTTAAAGCGTTAGGAACACCTCGGTTCAGCACAGACTACCAGCACACATTTCTCAAACTTGGTCTTCATCTGCTTTGAGTCATGAGAAGATGCATTTTTTGTGTGTGTCTTGGAATCTTCAAGACAAACCCCCCAAAAAAAGGCTGCTGTGTGTGAAACTTGGTGGCTTAGTGGGAAAAGCCTTGGCCTCAGATGTGGGAGGTTGTGGGTTCAAGCCAAGGAGAGGGAGGAGAGAAAGGGGGAGGAAAAGAGAAAAGATAAAAGTGCAAGCAAGCAGGTGAATGAAATGGGCAACATTTTAGTTAGCTTGCCAAGTAAAATGAGGGTCCAAGTAGGTAGAATTTTTGCATACCCAAAGGGTTAAGTGCAACTTTTTTTTTCCAGCAAAATTCTGCATAACCCCCTCTTGTCCTCTCTCCTGGGCCCCAGGGGGGGAGACGGGTATACCTTCCCCCCTGGTTCTTGGGTTGCGCCCTCCGGCCTTCCTCGCACGTCATGCATCATGCACCCTTCACCCTGTGTGTGTGTGTGTGTTTCACCACCACCGTGATGTGAGGATCCTGCTCGGGATACGAACCGATAACCTCCAGACTGTAGAGGCAGGGCATCTACCAGTGAGCCACAGGATCTCACAAATGTCCTCCTTTTTTTTTAACATTTGTCTTTGTTTTTGCCATCTTTACTGATGAAGCCATGCAAATGAAAGCCCTCAAGTGGGGCTTGAACCAACAAGCCTCTGGTTGTAGAAACATGATTGATTTATACCAGCAAGCCACAGGGCCCGCAGGGAGCCGTCTTTTTTTTTTTTTAACATTTATCTTTGTTTTTGCCATCTTTACTGACGAAGACATGCAAAAGTAAGGCTTGAACCAACAACCTTCTGGTTGTAGAAACATCATTTACACCAGCAAGCCACAGGCCCTACAGGGAAGCTCCTTTGTTTTTTTTTTGTTTTTTTTGGACATTTGTCTTTGAGATTCCCAGGTTGTGCCTCTACCCATGTTTAGGAACATCTTGA